GGTTCAGAATATAATCGTGATGGCTGAAAAGACTGAAGAAGCTAAGGAAGCCATGGATATTGATGCCTCCACCAAAGTTTAACTCAAATTGAAGGAAAGGAACTTTGCATGCTATAAAGTTTCAAGTCTTCAAACAAAATGCAGAGTTCCTCTATCTGTATTATGTCTGCCTAATTAAAGTTTAATTTGTGTGTTGAATTAATTAATTTCTGCTTAATTAATTAGGGGTAGTGCCAAGGGTGTGTCTCAGTATGATATATATATGCCCCTTCAAATTAAGGGTATCCGTCTTACTATCTCTCTCTGGCCATCTGATCTAGTTAGCTCTTGTGAGCTTTAAATTAATTAATCTCAGGGTACCCAAAAATTGTTATTAGTAGCTAATTACAAGCTACATTTTCTATACTAATTTTCATTTTAGCTAACTTTTTAGATGTAATCTTTTGGGATATTTAAGATAAAAGTTGGTGGTATAATTGCTAGAAAAACCAAAACAAGCAGAGAAACTCATCCAATACCATCTAACTCATTTTGGTATGGCTAGCTTTTGTTGGTATGCATGCATTTGTTATCTCTCCTACAAATGAAAATGACACTTAGAATTAATTTTGCTCTAGAAAGAACTCTAGACTAAAAGTGTCACTTTGAATAATTGTCACAATAATATCAAAATTAGTAGCATAAACAACTCACTAACACAGAAAAGTAACTGATCGCAACATAACATATCATGTTAGAATAAGCATATTTATGAAAAGCTCTAAACTAGAAGTGGCTGTGGAATTTTCTTCCTTCAAGCCCATCCACTTAAAATTTTGCCAATATTATGAAGTGAGCTAGCTCTTGTAGAAATCTCACTGGGAGAGACAGGGACATACGTACGCCTCCAGTAACCAAAATATAAAAAAACTGTGTCCTCCTAAATCCATGTAGTGGAGAATCTCAGATTCTCTCTGCAGCTATATGCATATCTTAGCTAGTGTTCAATGACTCGAAAGATTACACCAGACCGATCTAACTGGGCCTACCTTGTAACATATCATGATAGCCAGACACCACAGTGGAAGAAAATCACATATGTACATATAAAGTTTGGAATTGCAGAAGAATATTCTTCCACATTTTCCACGTCGGGTATCTCAACTCGTCTCTGTACGTGTGGTGGTACTCGAGTCAAATACATGGTTCATATACATTGAGTAACATGGGAGTGCGGTTGGTTATTTGGTCTCACGCGTGATTTACATGTTCTGCAAAATACTGTAGAATAATATTTTTCATTCTGATATGACAGTAATTCACTGTATGAGACATCAGTTTCTTTTTTATTTGGGTTCTTGATGTGAGGAGTTTCGAAAAATATGATCATATAGCCTTTAGGTTTAGTTATTCTGTCACCGTGAGTGAAGTTTGAGTCAGCCTGATCAGATTTTCATTCATATAAGAAAAGATTTAGGTCACCTTGCTTGCACCACAAATTAGGGATTGCTTCTAAGTATGACCATCATCCATATAGATAAATAAATATAGTATATGTCAACTTTTTCATGTTAAATCGGGTGGATTAATAACATTCTTATGGTAGCTATGCATTCCCTGATGATAACTCTCCTTTTTAAGAAGTTGGGGGGATTCGGTTCTGAACTTGTGGTTCAGGGCAAAAGCTTATGTATCTATTATATACCAATGTTTAGTAATTAATCACCCTTATCTTTTTTCACGTTTTCCCAATACTATTCGGTTTCCACTATAGGCCAATTGGCCAGGGGGTAGGGAGTCCGCCCCCATTGCACCCGAGTTCGAATCCCCCTTCCTGAAGTAATTCAGTTTTTCTCTTGATAAGAAGCTGGATGACAAATTGGCTCAACGCAAACTAATGAGGTTACTCGTTTTAATTACATAGTTAATCATATTATGTAGCAGTTGATATGTTAATAATCAGTTTATTATAAATCAGCTAATATGATTGGAAAAATGTAATCGCATTAGTATTGCACGGTTTTGCTATTTGTTGACGTTGTTTCTTGGAAGGTGTATAAAATGTACGGAAATCAGGTAAGGTCATTTTCAAAATAAGCATGCCTAAAGTTTAGGTAGGTTCCCATGCTTGACCCTACCATGACTGTGCATGCATGAGGTGATGGTGATGAAATAAAGTAACCCACTACTACTTCAAATTCCTTTGAAAGCCTGAAGTCAGAGTTTGTTCAATTATAAAAGGTTAGGGTTCCTCCAATTATAAAAGGTTAATATCTTCTTGTTGCTTTTTGTTTGATTGTTCCTTTTTCCCATTTCGCTAAAGATTCTTATGCTTTTTTCTGGTCAACTTGCTCAATGTGCTTGAGTAACATGGAGTTTTAGACCACGCAGTGTTATGTTATCCGATGGGGAAATTTTAACATGCTGGATTGTTAGACGCTTCAATCTTTTTTAAGTTCGAAATAATAAATTTACGGGAACCAACCAAAACTGCTTTTGTGTACAGCTTTTCACAAAATTGATTGCACAGGGCATTACATTTTTCTCAAAAGGGGCTATGATAATGAAGAATACAAAAACGTCAGAAAATTACAACATGTTATGAGGATAACTAGCTGAGTGATGCCCAATCCGGATATGGGCATTCATAAGTCCATCCAGGTGCAGAATATCGAACACAGTGTAGCCACAGAGCCTCTTCATGAACATCGTATCTGCAATTATAATCACATTCATCAAATGGAAGTTGAAAACAGTCGGTATCGGATTTTATATGGTTACATCATATGCATCAAAGAATATTCATGAAGACCACACGAAGAACGACAATTCTTACCCTTTTGGAACCAAATCAGGACAATTTGTACACATGGGATCGATGCTGAAATCTTCATTGGAATCTACATGTTCGGTGGATAAATTTTCGCAAAAATCGGATGCCGGGATCGATGCTGAGCGATCATGAACATGTTTGGACAGGTAAAGCAAGTCATTGGCTATTGGATAGCCTGCATGTTGCAAATGTACACGTATCTACATCACAGAAAAGGGGAGATCATTGAGGTTTTAGGTAATCCAAATCTTTGCTTCAGATCAATAAGAATGAAAATGCAGAGCTATTTGTCTTTAGAAGACGTGGAAAATTCAGAAAACAAAATGAAAAGCAGAGTCATCAAGAGAATAAGCATAGCAAAGTTTCACTCAATTAAATTGAGAATGAAAATTACCAAAGAGAACCAAAAAGAAAAGCATACGATGCATTTTGCACACTTACAGTACAGAATTAAAAAGGGAGAAAATATTCTTTTTCCAATAGCAACCTTTTAAAAAAAGCGGTGTTACATCGCCCATATAATTATCAGGCATTTAATTACCTGATGAGTTCGGCCAGTGACCGGTTCACACAAGACAAGGCTATGAACTCCATTAGTACTGAGTCTAGTAAACTTTGTACAAGCAGTCTTCCCCTTTATGGGAGTAGTATCACCACAAGCACCAACCTGCATAAACGAGAGATGGATATTGTTCAGTATTGTTCATAGAGGCTATCAATGTGATGTCGTAACTAGTCTAGTTGGTCCATCCGAAATTGTAAGAGATCAGTTCGCAATGCATAATAACACAAGGCAGGAAGTTGCAAACAAGCAACCTCACCAACAACAATCACAGAGAAGGCTACAAAAACAAACTCAAAGATCCTATGGTTTAAACAACAACTAGTAGCATCATGTACACATTAGCCCACCTCTGCTGTGCTCCTTTGTTCTCGAGCATTATGATTTATGTTAGCATCTACAACTTGCTGGGAGAGAGAGAGAGAGAAAAAAATAATCTGTCAATCCTAACATTAAGAGCAGCATTTTTAACAACCAGCTTTAACAAAAGTAAACCTCTTGCTCAGGAAATTCCCCAGCAACTCTTGCAATGTACTGTTTCTTGATCATCCCTCCCTCAATCTGCAACAATTTCATTTTGACTTAAAAAATTTAAGAACAAAAAAAATTTCTTATCCACAAAGCATGAAAAGAACACAATGCTTAAATAAGTCATCAAAACAGAACTCTTGAATATCTACAAAAAAAATAGTGGAACAAGAAAAACTGATTTCTTGAATATCCACAAAGCGTGATATGTGCATGCAACCAATGCCACTTCTTAGACAGTCCTGAATATTACCAGTCAAATAATTGGGAAAACCCAGGCTTATCTATACGCAAGTAGTCATGTGGACCAGATATAAAAGACAAGTGACGGACTTTATGATTTTGCCTAACATGATAAAACTAAAGAGATCAGTATACTTTATCTCTGACATGTAGCACATAACCAATTACAAAAGTGTACCCCTGTAATGCATGTAGCTCCTGGACTATATCGAATTGCAAGGGTTTAGCTACGATAGAAACCCTAATTGGACTATATCCAATTACATAAGTATATTTTAAACCCTAATTGTAACGTGACAGAAACCAAATCACCATGAATTTCTGCTACCATAATACACAGGCTTTGGTTGTGATATTCCACGGCCATGATGATGACTTAAAGTTTACAGAAAATTTAACTAATACATTGTTTGTTCGAGTATCATATAATCAAATTTTATAGATGAGAGCTTACCTGTTGCCTAAAAAAGTCAGCTTTTGAAGCACTTCTGGCCAAGATAAGGAGTCCTGAGACAAGACGATCTAATCGATGGACCGCTGGCATGATCGCGTCAAGGAAAATATAATGAAGCAAATAAAGACTCCATTTGAAAATATCATACGTAACTTCAAAATACATGCTGCCAGAAGTATAATATTTCTGTGAAACTTAGGATACGAAATAGAGGTGCCAAGCCATGCTCCGCCTCAAGGATGCCAACAACGGTATTCTTACGATATTGACCACACGGATGCACCTAGATAACAGAAGAAACTAACAGGCATAAGACTCCATAATCAGGTTGTGGGAGATGAGAAAAATGTTCCTCACCCGCTAGGCAAATATCTCATAATCCTACTAACCGGAATAGATGCAGGTTTACAAACGGTAACCACATCGGGTTCTTTTTGGAGAATCAACACATCCGAAGTCAACACTGGTGGTTCATGCCTACAAACAACCCTTACCACATTAATTGGTAGCTCGACAACTTTAAAATAGAGATTTGAATCAATTACCCAATTAAGAAAAATATCATAAGTACCCAGAAAACAAATTGAAAAAAGAGATAAAGCAAGCAGAGTTAAAGGCATCGACTACAAGAAAACCACAGACCTGTGCAGGAAGTGGCTTATCTTCTCTGACGTTTTAACTATGTAGGAAACTGGCACCATCTCTCCATCAACTCGTATCCTTCCACATTTCACTGCACTAACCTGCAATGCATCACAATCCATAACAATATGCAGAGTAAAACTAGGAGTAAATTGTCACAAACATTTAATTAAAATACAAAGCAATTTTCTTTATTTAAAAAAAAAACATCAAAACTCTTACATAGTAATCATGAGACCGGCCTTTAAACTCATCAGTGAACAAGTCAACGATGGTCTTCCCCGCCCAGCGATTCTTAACCTAAAACCCAGTAGCACGGAATTAGGGTTTAATCACACTCAACTAATCACATTCCCAAATTAAGCAGATTGGCTTACATGAGCGATGAACTCGAAGTAGTAGGGTCTCACATGGCGCCTCCCTGCAACATTCCCGCCAAAATAAAAATGCTTTCTTTCAATTACTGTTAATATTTTACAAAGAAATGAAACGGCTCTCGAAACCCAGAAGTTACCGTTGCGAAAGATGTAATCTAGTCGGTGTGGAGGGTTGGCTGGGGTTTGCCAGACGATCTCCATGTCCTCTTCTTCCAACTTCCTCTTCATTTTTCGGCTTTATTATCAAAAAAATTGCTTTTCCAAGAGAATCACAGCCCTAGACCCCTAGAGCCCAAACAGCCCTAAAACGACGTCGTCTGGGCCCCTGCAGGCGGATTAGGATTAGAAATTATGTCGCTTTCATACCATCGATCTTTTGACCTTGAACGACGTCGTAGTCAGCTTTGGCAACACTTTTTCTTCTTCAGCAGCTCACCCCCAACAAGAAGCACCAACCTTCAACCTCCATAGAAGAAAGAAAGAGAAGCAGAAGAAGAGTCTCAGAATTGCTTAGGCTGATCGTCTGCTACGCGAAAGGAAAAGGGTCGGGCTTCAGAAGTGCCAGAGTGCCACGTGGAAGCAATCAGTCGGTGGATAGGTGAAAAGTCAAAAGTCAAAAGCTTGACGGGGAGAGATGCCGGAGGAGGATTTGGTGGACATAAAGTTCAGGTTGTATGATGGTTCCGATATTGGGCCGTTCAGCTACTCATCGGCCTCCACCGTCGATATGCTTAAGCAGAGGGTCGTCTCCGATTGGCCCAAAGGTTTGTCTTGCAACTTGCTGTTTCTTAGTACTTAATTTCTTTGTGAATTTGTTTGCTATTATGCCTGTCAATTTCAATGTGTTTCCAATTTGGAATTTTTATGTTGATTTGGATTTTTATGTCAATCTAAGTTTGAAGTTTCAGTTTTGGGCAATCAAAATTTTAGGAGCTTTTGAAAGAGTCTTTTTAATTGAATCTTAAGCTAATTTTCTAAATAATTAGAACAACCCAAAAGAATTTTGAGTCTCACTTGTTGTGGAATTGGTATTTTTTGTGAGTATAGTTACAAGTTTATTACTTTGACTCCTTTTTTTCCCCATATGAATTCTCTGTTTTTCCATCCTTTGTTTATCTAGTTTTGATTTTCTTGAGATGCCCTTTTGATTTTTGTATAGGCAAAACTATGATACCCAAGACAGCTAATGAAGTGAAACTGATGAGTTTTGGCAAAATTTTGGAAAACAACAAGACAGTGGGTCAATGCAAATTACCTTTTGGTGATGTTGGTGGGGGAGTTATCATAATGCATGTTGTTGTACAGCCAGCTATAGAAAAGGCTAAAACAGGTAAGATTTCCATTATGATCTAAATCTCAGAAAGTTTCGTTGCTTGTGGGTTGCAAAGACTACTTAATCTTGTGCTGTTTTCAGAGTTAAATTTGGTGTCGATAAATGAATTCGATGTTGTTATACCATATACTTCTGAACATTGATTTTGGGTGAATTGTGCACTGGCTTGTTTATTGCAGCCTTTATGCCTGGAGAATTTAATTGTAAATTCCTCTTAAAACTTTTGAACCATTGTTCAACAATCAACCAGGAAAGTTGAAACTAACTGGTACAAAAAGTTTGTCATGTGGGCGTTGTCATTACTAATTAGCATTTGGTTTGAGCCTATGAGAAATTTGCTTTCTCTCGTTTCCTTCAACAGGAGATATATCTTCTATGGTGTTTACTCCAGCAATTCATTGTTATTAATGGCGTGTATACTGTCTGTGAAAGGGGAGCAACCTTGAGATTAAAGAAAGGTTAACAATGAAGACAACCGTCGATAGGAGAGAGCCATTTTGTTTATGACCTTACTATGTCTTCCCTTAGGAAGAACAATTAACTTCCCAAGAATGGAGGGATGCATATATTAAAACCATCCTTGTTGGTTACTGCTATTTGTTTGGAAATTTTTCATTCAAAAAGTAACAACGTGGGTTTTACTGATCCTAATAGTTATAAATGGCAAAACTAATTTGGAATGGGATTAATTAAGTGAAGTTTTGTTGCCCTCCACTTTTGATTTTATAAGCATGAGGTTTCTGAAAAGCTTGTCATGGTTATTCTGAACAGAAAAGAAGGTTGATGATTTGCCCCGGAAAGTTGTCTGCTCCTGTTCCATATTGTGAAAGAAACTGTTTGATGTTGGGATCTGATGACCTGGGAATGAATGATTTGGCTACAGTAACCATCTCCGGGCATACGTTTGTTCATTGTTATTGCAGCACCAATGTGTACAAGTTGTGATGTGTGTACAGAAAACCATGTTGTTGGTGATTTCAATAGTTGCAAGGCTTTTGTCTTCCACCATCACAGATGGCGTTTTCTTTTGTTCATCTATCCATTTGTTATGTGCTTTTTCCTCTGTCTTGCCCTATAATTGCTTTTTCTTTTGTTCATCTATCCATTTGTTATGTGCCTTTTCCTCTGTCTTGTCCTATAGGTTTGCTTGGATGAATGTAGCAGTAATACAAAGCTGTATAGACCTTATTAATACAAAGATCCACAGTTCAACTACAAGGAGCAATGTTTTGTTTATGCTGTGTTTATCTGAGTGGTAGACGAGGACAGTAGTGTAACATTGCAGGATTAAATTTCTCAAGTGGAATTTGCATCAACTAGTGCAGATGCATATTTGAATCACCAACGTCCATTTTGACACTGCATGCAAAAACGCCCTAACGATTGAGAAAAACCTGCTCTCTTTCTTGTTCGTTCGAACAAGACCACGACCATAAACTACGGATTGAATAAGTGAAATACATAATCTGAAAAATCGAGTATAGTAGTTATTTAGTTATATAAATTTATTTTTTATGGATGTTAAATTATTATTTTTTCTTAAAGCAAGATCCAGCGAGTATTCTCTCACTCAATTGAACATAAATTCTGCATGATAACTTTGTTGATAAGTGGATCAAAGGTTTTGTTCTAATCTTCATTTCAAGAAACATTAACTGTTGACTTGAAACTTACTCTCTAATTTTCACCATCTTTATTGGAAGAGGTTTCGAGTTCAAATCTCGTGAACAAGGACCATGCTTCCATGAATGAACGATTAAGTTAGGAGGGCAATTCGCAAGCCTCTTGTGTAACATAATCTGTTGTAATTCTAGATAGTCTACAAGATAACCATGTGTCAAGGTAATGAGAAACAGAGGGTACAGAAACCGGTTGAGAACAAAGAAATTTCCGAGATTGTATACTAGCTAGAGATCAGATACTACACTCAACAGCTACTAAAGTACAAAAACTTTAAATAAAAAAGACTCGGGTTCTGATGGAAGATGACAAACAAATCGACTCTCTCAGGATCACCTACAAATTTGACAATCCTGCAACAGGGGAAATCAACGAAAATAATAGTACAGAGAAACAATGGATTTTTCTAAATCTGCCTAAAAACTCTATCTGCAGCGGCTATCGTATTTTGGATATCTTCATGAGTATGAGCCAAGCTTGTAAACCCAGCCTCAAACTGGGAAGGAGCAAGGTATACACCTTCCTCCAGTAGTCCCCTGTAAAACTTTGCAAACTTTGCGGTGTCACTCTTTTTTGCGTCATCAAAGTTGTAGACAGGCCCTTCAGTGAAGAAAAAACCAAACATCCCACTTATATACCCACCACATATTGCATGCCCAGCCCTCTTCCCAGAATCTATTATACCTTGAATGAGTTCACTTGTGATCTTATTCAGGTATTCGTAACTTCCTGGCTCCTTCAACCTCTTAAGGGTATGAATCCCAGCAGTCATTGCTAATGGATTTCCACTCAAGGTCCCAGCCTGGTACATTGGTCCTGCTGGTGCCACAATTTCCATAATCTCCCTCCTTCCACCATATGCACCAACTGGCAGGCCACCACCAATGATCTTTCCAAGTGTTGTTAAATCAGGAGTAATGCCAAAATACTCCTGTGCTCCGCCATAAGACAAACGGAATCCAGTCATCACTTCATCAAAAATGAGGAGAGCGCCATGTTCTTTGGTGAGTTTGCGTATGCCATTAAGGAAATCAGATTTAGGAACAATGAAGCCAGAGTTCCCAACAACAGGTTCAAGGATGATTCCAGCTATTTCTCCTTTGTGACTTTCAAAAAGCGCTTCCACTGCCGACAAGTCATTGTAGGGGGCCGTTAGAGTATCAATAGTGGCTGCTTTAGGAACACCTGGTGAGTCTGGAAGTCCTAATGTGGCCACTCCACTACCAGCCTTGACAAGGAATGGATCGGCATGGCCATGGTAACAGCCCTCAAACTTAATGATCTTTGGTCGGCTAGTGTATGCACGAGCCAGGCGGAGCACACCCATGCATGCTTCTGTGCCTGAGTTGACAAATCGGACCATTTCTATGCTTGGAACAGCGGAGATCACCATTTCTGCAAGAACATTCTCTAGAAGACAAGGTGCACCAAAGCTTGTTCCTTTCTTCATCGTTTCAGCTAGAGCTGCAAGTACCTGAAAGTAAGTGTTAATCCAAGATAATTGAGTTATATAATAACTATCTTTGCTACTACGAATTGACAAGGTGAAGAAGATTAACAGTCAATTCTTTTTTATCTTTCTAATTTGTCTGGGAGAGGGATTTTTAACTTGAGATGCCTATGTGCTAGCCTTATCAAGGACTTATCATGGGCGATTCTCCTTAATAAAAAATGAGGTGCCTACATCATTGTCCTAAAATATGTAACTCCTTTGGGAGAAATGCGTATGTGGTATTAGAGAAACTATATTACATATTTATATATATATATATATAATACAAAACTCAGTGGAAAAATATAATGAGAGAGAAAGAAATAAGTCAGTTCTATTCTCCAAAACAATAACAGAAACAATGTGAATTGATCATTGGATCAAGACTGTCAACAGAAGCAAGTGAAATTCATAATAGATTACAAGAACAGAGAATAATACCTTGTCATCCGCGTGACCGATTATCGCAGGTCCCCAGGAACCCACATAATCAATATACTCATTGCCATCTATGTCCCACATGTGAGAGCCCTTGACAGAATCAATCACAATAGGTTGTCCGCCAACAGACTTAAAGGCACGTACGGGGGAATTCACACCTCCAGGCATCAACTCCTACAATAAAAAAGTTGTGTCAGCAAGCAATAACAGATTTTGAAGCAATTTCTTCTATTCAACATCTGATGTAGAAAAAGTTAAAATGACACATATCCTAAAATATAGCAACTCAACAGAACCATTTGAGTTCGGATCCCACTTTTCAATGACTAAAAGATTTGAATTTCATCGTAAGCAATCAGAACCTTAAACAAACTGGAATTGGATAACCCAA